AACCTGCTGGAGATTCTCTCGGGCAAGTCGTGGGGCGCTACGCGCTCAAGCCCAACTCGCGCTTCCTCAGGATCGAAAACGTCGTCATTGCTCTCAAGTTCATTGACCAGAAGCTCAAGCTACGGCTCTACGGCACCAGCGCCGAAGGTTCGACCCTGCAAACTTATCTCTCACACCGCACACACGCACCGCACACACGTCAAATGACACGACACACGCCACACTGGCCGTGCACTAATCCACACACGGCCACATGCGCAGATATTGTCGATGGCAACACAAAGATCATACTGGGCATGGTGTGGCGATTGATCCAGACCTTCCGATTGAAGATGGACGGGCTCGGCGAGGGCGAGGAGGGAATGCTGGACGACACTGCCGAAGAAAACACGTCCGGCACCGGTTCCCTCCCCGCCTCCGCCTCTGTCCGAGGTACGTCCACTCGCACTCGTCTCGCACACACCCGGATGCTCACTGTGTTATATTGTGTTGTGTGTCGTATGTCGTGTGTTGTGTGGTATGTGTGTCGTGTGGTGTTGTTTACACAGTTCACAACGCGTTCAAGAGCACACTGCTGTCGTGGTGTCAGCGGAAGCTCGACGTCTACCCTACGGTGAGCGTGGAGAACTTCGACGCCTCGTTCGCCAACGGAATCGCGTTCTGTGCCCTCATACACCGAATTCATCCGCACCTCATCGACCTGCATGCCCTCAATAAGGCACGTGTACCAACCAACCACACATAGCTATAATGTCCTACGTTCCTCACATTCTTGATCGTATAATGCGATCATGTCTCTTGCGTGTGCGGTCTTCAACATCTTGCAGGACCATGCGGTGCAGAACCTATCGCTGGCGTTCAGTCTGGCGGAGGAGCACTTTGGCATCCCGCAGCTGCTCGACCCGCGGGACCTAGTTGACAGCAAGCCCGACGAGCTCTCCGTCATGACCTACATCTCCGAATACTTCCACGTCTACATGAACATCGAGAGAGTACGTTTTTTTAATATTTATTTATGTAGAGATCACGCCTACCTTTTTCGCAGCCGGCTTAACTAACACTCCATTCGTTCACTTGCAGTCGCGCAAGGCCGACATTCAGCGACTGAGCGAGGAGGAGCGACAGCGACAGGAAAAGGCATCCGAGTCTATCGACAAAGTTGCCGTCGTGGTACGGCCTACTTTACTAATTTTTATTATTTAGTTATTTATGATTACTATTATTGTATTATTATTATTCTTTTTATCTTATTTATTGTTTTTTTCTTTGGTGGTACGAGGTGGGGGAGAGTCGCCTGTGGCGGACGCGGAGAGCAAAAGCGCCTCGATGTCGCCCGGG